ATTTCAATATGTTTGTTTAGACTGTTCTCCAGTCGTTTCAGGCTACATCTGTATCAGAAGTGATAGAGTTCGAAGTCGAAAGGGAGGAGGCATAATATTATATGTTATGGACCACTTCCGCATAAACTTGATCATATCGGAGGCGCATGTAAGTGGTAGTATGTTGTACAATTAGGTCTAGAAACGGGTTAGTGACGATAGGAGGAATATATCGTAGTCCGTGTTGTCTCGCTGACGACTTTATCCTAAGGCACGTCTGTTCTTGGAGCAAGGCATAATGTTGTCTCATCGTTAGAGACTTCAACGCACCCCATATCAACCGGATAGAGCTCACAGTCCTAGGTGGGGGTTTTGATAGCGTCCTTCAGTCATCAAGTATTCAATGTTCACTTGTACAATGCAAAGTTAAGCCGACACATATCGACTTGGAACATAATCCGTCATTGATATACCTTATCCTCACACACCACTGTGAAGATATCGTCGACATTCAACACCTTCCCCCACTGGTGGATAGTGACCATGTCATACTTTCCTTTAAGTTCCGGATACATGGTATAGAATTTGCATCTGCTCCACCCCGTCCCAATATCTGGATAGCTAATAATCCGGCAATCGGCGACTATTCTATCTCGGTTGACTGGTCGGTCGATGCTGATGGATCGATCGATGATGCATGGAATAGGTTTAAGTCTACGTTCGAATCCGTAACTCAACCTTTTATCCCATGTTCAGCACGTAAGCTAACATATTGCCCTCCATGGATTAATGAGGAAATCCGGAAGCTGTTGAAGCGTAGAAAACACTTCTGGGACTTATTCTTGTCAACAGGTCAGGCATCATTTAAGCGCTAATATAAAAAATTCGGAATATATGTAAAAAGACCATAGTTGAATCCCACACGGCTTACAAACGACAGTTGGCATACGATAGCCGTACCTGTCCGAAGCGACTGTTTTCGTACGTTAAAAGGCGGACGAAACGTAGTGATGGTATCCCCTCATTACTGTTAAGCGAAAATTCAGCTTTATTGGCTGAATCTGATCTAGCGAAAGCGGAGACATTTGCTAACTATTTCAGTGAAGTCTACTCTACGTGTAGTGTTACAACTACTTGTTCCATTGACAACGAGATGCCAGCCATAGGACCTATACACGTGACCGAGGATATTGTTCTTCCTTTGATAACCTCAAACCTTGTAGATACCATGCTCTAATCGGTTACATCCATGACCGCTGTCATCTTTTGCGGACACTATTTCAAGACCATCTGCGACGCTCGTAAACATGTCCCTATCACGCGCTCAACTATCTAGAGACTGGAAAGATGCCATAGTTATTCCTATATTTAAGGATGGTCAGAGACGGATCGTATCTAACTACCGGCCTGCTAGCCTGACCAGCATAGTAGTTAAGTTATTTGAAAAATTAATTCTGGCTAAGCTACTGAGTCACATAGATTCGTACAATCTGTTAACTCACGAGCAACATCGGTTTCATGCTTAACTAACTTACTCATTGTGAGAGAGGACTGGACAGCTGTCCTAGATAACGGCCAGTCTGTCGACGTGATATTCAAGGTTTCACACTTAAGTCTTATACAGAAGCTCTCGAGCTTCGGAATAACAGGTGCTATACAGGAATGGATAAGAAGCTTCTTATGTGACCGCAGACAAGGAGTGAGGGTCAATGGAACTCTATCCGAATGGAAACCGGTTAAAAGTGGTGTACCCCAAGGCACCATCTTAGGCTCTTCACTTCTCCTTCTGTATGTTAATGAACTACCTTTATTACTTCAGTCGTCGACATTATTGTTTGCGAATGATGTTAAAATCTGGAGAACAATAAGAAGTGAGACTGATAATTGTTATCTGCAAGCTGATTTAGACGAATTAGTTAGATGGGCTCATGATTGGGTCTTGGAAGTTAATTCCAGGAAGAGCGTGTTCATGCACATCGGGTAGGATATTAGTTACCACTATACTTTTAATGGTACATCTCTTCCACGCGTTCAAGAACATAAAGACTGAGGAGTAACTATAAGTCACGACTTCAAAACCACTACGCACAGCAATGCGGTTGCTTCCAAAGGTTATAGTGCCCTATGGTCGCTTCGCAGAGCATTTAAATACTTCGGTGAGGAGATGTTTTGAATTTTATATCCCACCTATGTAAGGCCACACTTAGAATACTGTATCCAATCAGTTAGCCCATGTCTGATAAAGGATACTAAATCGCTTGAGCGTGTGCAGAGTGTGGTGACAAAATTAGTGAACGGTCTTTCTAAACTCCCTTACGATGAGCGTTTGAAACGTCTAGACATTTTCCCCTTATATTATCGTAGGACACGAAGTGACCTTATACTGGCATTTCGTATCTTTAATTATGATTTGGGTGTTAATATGTCTTATCTGTTTGCTCCCTCCGAGGTCATAGCAAGAAGGTTTGCAAACCGCGATCTAATAAATTAAAGCTGGGGTCCCGTTTTTTCTCATCGAGTGGTCAATGACTGGAACGCATTACCCGAACAAGTGGTATCAGCCCCATCAATGAACATTTTCAAGAAGCTGGACCTTCACTGGAAGGCAGTCTGTCAGGATTAACACAGGTTCATCAACCTACTATCCTTATTAGTGAAGACTGAAGACATTTGTCGGAACCAACAACTTGTCAAACAGCGGACAACATGTTTTATAAGCAAAGATTGATAGTGGATAGCATTGGAATCCACGAAGCACTCTTCGTCCTATTTAAGGCTCGTCAGCTGGATGTACCTGCATCTCAGAGTTGATAATCACTCTGGGACTCCAACCCATTGCCTTCAGCCTCAAACGCCATCGAGTTATCCACTTAGCTACAGAGTCGTGATAGCCACCTGCTTGTGCTACGGGGTGAAGTTATATTCACTCATGAATAAACAAGTATACAATACCAAGTGAGAGGACAACATGGTTTCAGGAAACGTTTATCTTGCACAATGAAACCTCTCATAAAATGGCTTGAGGATTTCGTGGTAGATCGTAAATAGAAGGTAGGAAGAAATTACAAGAGTTTCATGTGGAGACCGGTAATTAATGGAGTGCCTCAAGGTCCTGTCCTAGGTTCTTTACTTTTTATACTGTACTCAAATGATCTGCCAAGCCTAGTTGAGTCCTCAATGCTACTATGCACTGGTGATGTAAAAATCTGGTGGGAAATAATGGGAGACTCAGATGCGTGAGTACTTCAGACAGACCTAAATATTGTTATTACTCGTTCTTAAGAGTGACTGATGCTTATCAACGTGGCAAGGTGTGCCTGTATACAATTTAGGGGTACAATGGTAAATAGGTACAGCATAGGGGAAGTGCCTGTACTCGTGGTCCAGTCTCACAAGGAACTTGTGGTAACAGTGAGTCATGATCTCGAGACTAAGGCCCACTGTTGGGAGGTTGCAGCTGAGGGTTTTAGATCCCAACGGGTTTTAAGATGGACATTCACCAAGTTAGATCCTACTACGTCCACCACAGTATACATAACCTTATTGAGAACTAAGCTTCAAAACTGTGTTCAGGCTGCAAGCTCCTGTTTAAAAGGTGACTCGGATATCCTGGAAAAAGTACAGAAGACAGCTGCCCGTGCAATTCAAGAATTTCGGGGCTTATCATACAAAGAGTGGCTTCGAAAGCTAGGACTCTTTACTCTGTCCTATCTCAGATTACTAATACTACTGAACACTGCCGTGCAATAGCCGCCAAAGGTTTTAGAACTTTATGGTCCAAAAGCAGGGCTTTTATCCGTATATACAGTGTTCGTACGTCCTAAACTTGAGTACTACTTGCAAGCAGCTAGCCCCTGCCTAAAAAAGATAGTGAACTCTTGAAAAGGGTTCACAGAACAGCAACTAAGCTGATTCCTGAAATAGCGAAGCTCCCGTATGGTACTAGACGGACCAAGCCAAACCTATTCCCGCTGTCATATAGAAGAATCACTGGGGACTTGATTATAGTTTTCAAATTGCTTGATGACAAATTTGCACCTGATATGCCCTCATTTTTCTTGTTTCCCAAAACAGAAAATTTACGAGGACACTCTAAAAAAGTTCACAAGCCCAGAACGAATTACTTGTCAGCTGACTACGAACTTTCCCATCGAACCATCAACGAGTGGAATTCATTACCTCAGCACGTGGTTGAGACTCCATCCGTCGACCCTTTCAAAAGAAAGCTGGATCAGCTGAAAGACCATCATTGCCAGGACTAACACAGGCCATCAAGCCTCCTGTCTTTTCCAAACTGAAACTGAAACTGATTTTGATGTATAGGATACCAAGAAATGATTTGGGACCTATCTTCTCTTTTTCTTCCCACAGATTGAGACATATCAGAAGACATAGCAGGCTATTAGAAAAGTCAAGGATGAACAAAATATCCATGGCACACAGATTTTCACATCGAGTCATCAATTTTCGCGACATGTTACCAGAATCAGTGGTGTGCACACCTTCAGTTGACCCATTCAAGAGAATAATAAAAACTCAGAGAAGCAAACCATAAAAGGAATAACATTGGCTGTAGGCCTTCTGTCTTTGCTACACAAATCTGAATCTGAAAACTACATGAACACTATATGAATACTGGCGTCTTAGAGGTGATCTTCTTATGACTTATAGTATCCTTCATACTTCTGGTCATCCCCTTAAACATCTTCTCAAGCTTAATCATAACACTAACCTGAGAGGTAACACCCAGAAATTGGAGACCCTACATAGCAGAACAGACTGCAGACACAACTTCTACTCCGTTAGAGTTGTCAAGTGCTGGAATTCGCTGCCAACTGAGCTAGTCCAAGCGACCTCCCAGGAGTCCTTTAAGAGGAAACTTCACTTATTCTTAATGACTAAGGATAACATATTATTATGATTTACCAAATTCTTTTTTCCCCTCTATTATCTCTAATAGACCTAGGTTCTTGCCTGAAGGTATTGGTGATCCACTGCTACCAGACACGGAAGCCCGTTAAGCGAAAGCTTCTTCTATTCCGTCACCAACCATCTGAACCATTTGAACACCGCGTGTTATCAGTTGTTACGCTACCGCGTGGAGTATGCTGTATGTCAATTACTGAGGTTCTGATTCTCCCAGTTCCCTGAATTTTTCAGATGTTTGTCATTTATGATATTAAAGCACCTAATAATCCTAATGCTTTTCTCTCCGTACAGCGTTTTCACTCGCTCACTTTTTAGAAGTCCATTCGAAGTCTGTCATACAGAGCTTTACTTTTGAGTACATACAGTAAAAAACTTAATCAAATATGTTCTTGTCGTCTTAAATTCCTAACTTAAATTAAAATTACTCATTACAAAGGTCTAATGCAACTGGTGACCCACTTATAGGTTTGTACTTTCTGTTTCATTAACTTAGAAATAATAATAATGTATGGTTTGAACACAGTAGTTATCCGTTACCTTATAAACCACCCCATTCCGACCACATAAATGCAAAACCTCATTACTTTGGGATGTGAGTACAAGAAACCATAAAATTCGGTCCTGATATTGGATCGAACTAACAATCACTAATGTAGAACATATAAAAAAAGTAAACATAGATTTCATAACATGTACGACAATACTCAAAAACGGTTTTACTGACGACGATGTCCACAAAGAGGAAGGATATTGGTGCGTAGCATTATTCACACTTACATTATATATCCTAACTTTCAAATGGACGGACCGCCCTAGCCTTTCCATCTGTTCTGTCCCACGTATATTTGGTGTTTCCAACTATTCACGTATGGCCTTGACCGTCTAATCACTTCATAAAGATTGACTCACTCTATTATCTTCAAAGTTTGTGTACTGTCTAACACCAATATATCCATTATTTGTCTGCCGCTCATCATTAGCATGTCTAGAGAATAAGTATCCTAAATACAATTCACATTCGACTCTTGTCATCTACGTTGTGTCTGATTTATCGACGGAATGTGTACCGAATAAATATGATTCGCATTTCGTTGACGTCAATATCATTCGGTCAATATAAAGCGAACAACGAGCAAAATGAGTCTACCTGTTCTGTTGTATCTTCACTAACCGTTTGTTAAGCTATCGTAAAGTATATGCCACTTTTGCTTTAGGTTTCTCGCTAGATCAAACATAACGTAAAGTACTGGCTTAAGTATTGTATACGATTGACTAACCGACTTCTTATGCCAGAGATGTTCTTTACGAAGTGTACAGGACAAAAAGCGAATGTCCGGTGCTTTAACAGGGTTAATGTATATAGAGAATCCTCCGAAGGGAGTTGGAAAACCCTGATTCCACACTGATAGTGCAAGTGAGCTCCAGGAACCTGAGGAAACAAATGGCATATGTACCCACTGTTGGTCGCCTGCTACCATGGGAGCGTACCTCTTAACGTTGCTCCACTACTTTGTGGATTACACCTGTAGGTCAAAGGCTCTGGGAATGGTTCACTGAGTAAACCACATGCTTCGGTTTCGGCACCCGGACTGTATTCTAGCCGTCAAAAAATCTAATGATGAAGTATGGCGCATATATATTCGATGCCTCGTTGAACGAATGCGCTTAAATAATAATAGTGACTTGCCGACATACCGCGATAGAGTTTTGTATACCTTTGTAGCTTTCTGGATAACGATTGAAAACTAACGTCAGACAAAATAAAGGGATCGGCATATCCATTGGAATGATAATTCAATGACTCAGGGTTGGGAGTAAATACTAATATTAGGCTCTAGTGAGTCAAATGAAGAGGACAATTGGTCATGTTTTCCCCCTGTTTTTATTTTTTCTAGGACTGTTTTTTCCATTTTAATTTTGGAAAAGGAGCCTTCCAGATAATATAGACAGAAAGCACTAAGAATTTACCGGACTGATGGACCGATCACAAGTTACAAAAAGCACTGTAAAGTATTATTTGAATCGCGTGCATTGCTTGTCGTCTATGACAGATATTGAAGAGAAAAGTAAGTTCTGCTAAGGCTATGTAAAATTATAAATTGTGTTTTTCATCAAAATTCCAATTATTTAAGGTTCATCCAATTTGTTGCTAAGTCGCTTTTATATATTCATTAATTACTAGCTTTAAAGTGTGTTCAAAATTGAAGACTAGTCACCTAGATACTTAGCAGTTTCTACAAATGTTTCTTCACGAGGGTTGTGTGGCAATGGTGTTACAGTATACATCGAAGTCAGCTGGGCAGAAGCGTACCTAGAAGAAATGTAAACTCCCCATTATGATTGACAAAATGAACACTGAAAAGGACAACATAGCGATTGTACCATTAGTCAAACATATCTGTAGATGAATTATACTTAAGGTGAACATTGTTGCTGACTTTTATGTGGCAAAAAGCGAGGGCTGGTGGTTGTTAGTGTCAGTATAGATATTTGTTCAATTAGATGTTGAGATTTGTTTGGGTAGGTTTTCCCATGTACTAGGTGCACCATTAATATTTTCGCATCTACGACAAACAGTTTTTGGTTTCAAACACTTCTTTTGTATACTTTCAGACAATTTTATACTAAATACGTTTTTGGCATTTCAAAAAGATGGTTGGACAATAGCACTACACCCACAAGTATGCAGGTGTTTAGAAGAATTAATTGCAGATGCAAACGTGGAATGCATTGCTTTCTTGCTAAAAATTCTATCCAAAAGTTGGAATCGAGTAATCGATAGCAAGTTCGCATACCATTTGCTTCACAAGGCATTGTTTAAATGTCAAACAGATGAATATAATACCGACGAATTGATTGTTGATCTTATACAAAGTTTCTGTACTCATATGAAAGAAAATCTGTCAGTCTATATAAGCAATTCTCATGCAACGCATACATGTCGCATTTATCCACAAATTTTAGCTGGAGTTCGTTTAGAAAAGGATAAGAAAACAAGTATACTGCTAACTTAATAATTTCATTTTTCAAAGATACTTATAAGTCAGCTGTTCAACTTGTCACACCGTACGATGAAAACTATATTCAGTCACTTAAGGAGTTGTGTAAAGAGTTCTTATTTACGAAAGCATTGAAAAGTAGGTTTTTTTAGTGTTAAAAACATATCTCAATTAATCCTATCTAGATCATGTGGTCAACGAACACCTCTGTCCATTTATTCAAGTATTATTGCTTGTCGCATCAGCTCGTCTTTCTGATGTATTTACGAAAAAGTTTAAAAAGGTTATGAAATATTCTGGTTTGTTTAGTCCGAATTTAAAAGAAGACGATTTAGTTAAAAGGTTAGTTAAAACACTTATTATTTCTATTACTATGAATTAGGGAGAACTGGTTTCGTCTAAACTGTCAGTGTACAGTAGTTAAAAATCTCTTCAGTTCATATTAGCTTTCATTTGTAACCAGTATAAAGTTCGTTTCACAATTAACCACTTGATTTTTCTGTGAGTTCCAATTAGTTATCATAATTGCCATTCACATAACTACCAGAACCAGAGTTTTATAAACAATGATTTACTTCATAATCCATTGCTTTATGTATTCGGTTTTAAGCCATAATTTGTGAGGTCTACTAACACTACCTGGTTGCTCGAACTTGAAGTAGTTCGAGGGGCATCTGAATCTATAATCTAGTGATTGGAAGCTAATTATTCTAACCATCAAGTAACTACTCTAGGGCTTCATTCTTGCATTTGCTACATCGAAAGAATCTAAATAAATTGAGTGAAATTACATATGTAATTGTAGTAAGTCAGCATATTACGGAAAAGCAAACTGAAATATATGTATTCTTAATCATAAGGTCTCATCTTAACTCTCTTTTTCCATTGAAACAGTAGTAAACAGTCTTTTTATCCATTTCTTTTTCCAGTCTTTCGAAGGCTATTGTTTTGCTAGGTAGTAGTAATAGTTATATGGTGCATGCAGGATGTATTGTGACTGTTTTAAAGTTGTATTCGTCCACGATATTGTTACCTACTTCACTTGATTACGTCAGACTACGATATGCAACTAACGGCACTCGAATGTGTAAAACCGTACAGTCGCAAATCAGAAGATGCTTGAATCGAAGGAAGTGACTGTTGGATAAGAATAAAAAATGTATGGAAAAACATTAGTATTTATAATTATCAGCGTCGGCTATAACATTATAATCTAGCCAATCCACAAGGAAGCAAGTTATGCTATCGTCCAATCGTTGCATGCCACGTTGATATTCTAGAAATATCTATCAGGTTCCAATTGAGTGGTATCTTTTCGGCTCCTTTAAAGCCTCTAGAGGCTTTGTTGTGCTTCTAAAACGTCGTCCCAATAAACATAACTAAATAGATTGATTGCGAATGCTGAAACTTTAAGCATGCTTTCAGTGTTAGCCAAATGATATTTCCTGTAGATTTTCGGTAGTATCTTCAATAATTTTACAGCCAACACTAATAATTTTGTTTTTACTACTCACGGCTACTACTGATCACAATCCTCTTGGATTGTAAAGTGGAATTTCGGACTTCGAACATTAACATTTGGTACGTTGACAAAGATATAACGTACACTTTCCTCTTAACGGAACTGTGTTTACATGCAAGTTTATGGCCTATTGAGTGCTCAGCTTTCAACTACTTGTTTAAGGGTTCAAACCTCGCCCCACTTTTTTCACTCTAGACAGTAAGGTAATCAGAGGATGTTCTATATGATGACTGTTGTGATTTGCGAACGTATTTCATGTTAGCTTACTGCTGTTATTCTTTTTCCCCATTTCAGATATCTTGATGCTAACCCAGTTGCCACTTACTTCACTGAACTTCTCGTGGAGGTTATGCCAGGAGCGAATTTCGCAAAATTTTTAAACAATCATATTTTATCAGAGTGCTCACTCTCTTTGAATAGCAATGATTCAAATCCCGTAACATTAGCAGACGTTCTTATGTCAAGTCCAACAGCCAGTCGTGTGTTACGAGCGGTCATTCGACGTTTAGTAAAACCAGTGGATATTAAAAACTTTTTCACTGTTATTTTGTCGTGCAAAAGTAATAAATTCGGGCTACGTAGCGTTATTCCCAGCAAACAGTATGGTGTATTAACAGATTTGGCTGATTTATGTATAAGGCATCCTTCTGAAGAACTTCAACGTACATTCCTACGAGTAAACATTTTATGTCATATATATTTAATTTATATCATTAGCGAAATAGCTTGTATTTTCAAATATCCTAATCTATTTCAAACCTATATTGTTCTTATTCAGATTATTATGTATATACAAATAGTAGAGATTAAGAAAATCAGAAGGGGTTTTGTGGAGATTTCAGTATTTTTCAAAGTTGAAATCGTAAGTCAATTGAAGTTAGACCACCATGAAAAACTTGGAAGCACTGGACGGCCGTTTCGCTCTATCGTGTGACTCCTCAGCAGTGCGCATCCACGACCTCGCCTCGTGAGATTCGAACCCAGGACCTACCAGTCACGCGCCAGAGCACTTAACCGAGTTCTAGTGAGAAGTAGTGACCAGTAGAGTTCAAACCACATCTGTTGTGAGATAGGAACTCACTGAAGATAATTGGCGAACGGTTGCTCAACTTCGTGATTGCTTGAAGTTAAACATTAACACCATCGGATGCCGGCTCAGTGATCTAGTGGTTAAGTGCTCAGGCGCGAGACTGGTAGGTCCTGGCTTCGAATCTGGCTAGGCGAGGTCGTGGATGCGCACTTCTGAGGGGTCCCACAATAGGACGAAACGGCCATTCAGTGTTTCCAGGTTTCCCATAGTGGTCTAGCTTTAATTGACTCATGCTTTCAACTATGCAAATACTAAATGTCCACAAAAACCCCTTCTGATTACAATTTTAATACACATTTTTCTTGAAATTGGCTGACTTACATATCATGTTAAGTAACAAGTCATTTAGACATATCAACTACATTATTGTTTATCATTCCATCAATAAGAATTTATAATTTCTTCATTGTAAGGACTTTAACGCTAAGATTCTTTTTTACCATTGATCGCAACTACTATGTACAACATTCAAGTGATCCCGATTTCCTACATCTTATCATACTCGTTCAAAGTCGTTCAATTTACAATGGCTTTCTGTATGTTAGTTTTATGTCCTTTCCAAAGCATCAGTGGTTATCCTTTTCCCAAAAAAATGTGTATGTGACTTGACTAAAATGTTGACTAGAAAACTTGCCAGGATAACTAAACCAGTCTAATATAATAGTCGTTTTAACGAACCAAATATTTTAAGATGATAAGCTGCACGTCTAAAGGTCCTGGGTCCGACTCTTGCGTGTGAGGTCATCGATACACCCTGCTGAGAAGTCTCGTACTAAGACGAAAAGCCCATCCAGTGCTTCCAGATTTGAAATGATTATCTAATTTAGATTGGTTCGTGATCTCAATGAAATATGTAATTTTATTATTCACTTATTTCATCATTAAATTTATTTATTATTTATTTATTTAAACACATAAATATTGGTACAAGGAAGCACCAGATATATATGCGCCGCACGAATCTCATTCGACTTGTGTGAGGGCTACAACACTGCCCAGGTGCCCAAACTGAAGCACGTGGTTTTCTTAAGGCGGGGCCACACCCGGAGCCTCTGACCTGAAGGTCTAGTCTACAAGGCAGTGGAGCATCGTGAGGAGATACAGTCCCATGGTAGGCGGTGACCAACAATTGGTTCATATGCTATTTGTTCCCTCAGGATCCTGTAGCCCATATGCACCATTGGTTTGGAACCAGGGTTTTCTAACTCCCCTTGGTGGACATTCCGTGTCCACCAACCCGGTTAGAGCATCGGAAATTCGCTTTTTGTCCTCTCAATTCGGTAAATAACACCCCCGCCGCGAGAAGGCAATGAGTAGAACTTCCGTGACAAAGGCTGTATACGCGTGACCATGTGAGAGCATTTGGAGAGGGAGAGCGGACTCTCGCCACTCTCGGCCGTACCAGGGTATTTGGGGGGCCATCATTAAAATTCAACTGATGATGAGTTTTAATGATGGCCCCCCAAATGCCCTGGTACGGCCGAGAGTGGCGAGAGTCCGCTCTCCCTCTCCAAATGCTCTCACATGGTCACGCATATACAGCCTTTGCCACAGAAGTCCCAACCGTTGCTGCTACCTTGACGTGGTGGTCGGGCTTGCCTATCGTGATGAACTAATCGAGCTATACTAGCTGGAACAATCGTTCCTCAAGGTCCTGCCATGCCAAACAGGTAGGTTGAAGAGCGGTAGGACTAAAAGCAGCAAACCTAAGGTCCGAAGTCGTACTGCTGACTGTACAGAGGTATGATGGCAGTGAGGTGTTTCCTTCAGACAACCAGCATGACAGCGATGCTGCCTTCCTACAACGAGGGGTGGGGTTAGAAAAGGTCCACCCTAAATATACACACCTCGCCTTATCCCACGGATATACATCTCCGACGGTAAGGTCCCAACAAGTACGGAGCTAACACAAAACTTACCCACAAAAAGGTCGTGTGTGACCGACCTCAAGCAGTTGTCCCTTGGACACTGCGGTCACGCTCTCAGGTCATTAAGACCACTTCTAACCCAATTTCTTTTTCAGGTACCTCTAGAAGAACCTTTCCACTGTGTGGGCAACCGGGAAGTGATAACTGCCCTTATACCTCTAACAGCATTCAAGACCACTGTATTCATAATCAATTTCCTTCTTCAATTCCTACTATTCCTTCTACCTTGACTTTCAACACTAAACTTCTTCTTTTGGTCTCCTCCTCAAGTGTCACCATGGCCAATGATTCTAGTGCGCGAAACGCTGTTCCAGGTCTACTAAAAGCTCGCTCCAAACTACACATTGGAGCCTTCAACGTACGTACTTTAAGTCAAATCGGTCAACAGGCCTCCTTAGCTAAAACCCTAGAATCTCGTACGATTGATGTATGCTGTGTCTCCGAAACACGCATACAGGATCCTAGTGTGGTCATTCACTTGACCTCACCTCGCCAAAATGGACAGCCAACGAAATACACCTTCCGTGTATCTGGCGACCCGTTGGCTAATTCTCGTGGACTTGCAGGTGTAGACATAGCACCAAGTAAAAGGGCAGAACAGGCACTACTAAAATGGATCCCCGTTGACAGTCGCCTGTGTGCTGTCCGGCTAAATGGCTCCGTAAGAACCCAGACGAATAGGGACACACGTCGTTGCCTTTTCGTCGTTTCTGCCTACGCTCCCACTGACTGCAGCCATGATGAAGTGAAAGATGACTTTTACAGAAAGCTCTCTGAGCTTCTTCAGAAAGCTAAGCGCTCAGACATAGTAGTCGTAGCGGGTGACTTTAATGCCCAGGTAAGCAGCTTAAATCAAACAGAAAGACATTTAGGTGGGTGTTTTAGTATTCCGGCTAAACGAACCGATAATGGTGATCGTCTGTTGCAACTATGCTCAGACAATCGTTTATTTTTTAGCAAGCACTAATTTTAAACATAAGGAGAGATATCGTCTAACATGGCGACCACCTTCACCAAACCAACGATTGACTCAAATAGACCATATTGTCATCAGTCATCGTTGGAGAGGCTCAATAGAAGATTGTCGCTCGTATTGGAATACTTGTTTAGACTCTGATTACGCTTTAATACGAGTGCGCATTTGTCTACGCCTCAATGGACATAGGAAAAGTACACTAAGAAGACCCATTAGGATTGAACTGGAGGACGAGAAAGCCAAATGCGAATTCCAGAAACAACTGAGTTCACATCTAGGCAGTTCTGTAAACAAGACTGACCCAGATGCTGCTTGGAAAGACATAAGAACAGCTGTGGAAACAGCAGTAACATCTATTAGTTATTTAAACCATAGGGTTCCAAAAAACCAGTGGATTTCTTCTGAGTCTATTTCACTGACGGATTCGCGTAAACTCATCCCATCAGGCTCTGAACACGACGAAGAGCGTAAACAAATTAGATCTAGGTTGACTAAAAGTCTGAGGAACGATCGTGAGCAGTGGTGGGCAACGAAAGCAAAAGAGATGGAAAAGGCAGCGGCTGTAGGCAACACCAGGCAACTATTCAGACTAATAAAAGAAACCGGAATTAATAAGTCAAGTGTAAGTGAGACGATCTCGGAAAAAGATGGAACCCTTATCTGCTCTCAACCCAAACGTTTAGAACGATAGGCGGAGCAATTTAGCTGGCCTTCGGCTACTGCACAACTACCCACTATTCCCAGAAAACCTGAATAGAACATTGAAGTAGCCCCCCCGACCCTACTCGAAGTTCAAAAGGCTATAAGTAATCTGAAACGAGGAAGAGCAGCTGGTCCACATGGAGGTCTTTAAATATGGTGGTCCGATTTCAGAGATTTAGTTGACTAATATTCTGGCTGAAATCTGGAAAACGGACGTAATCCCATGCGACTGGTCACAATCTCTGATTGTCCCAATATATAAGAAGGGGCCAAAATCATCCTGTGATAACCATAGAGGGATTAGTCTGACTAACGTAGTATCTAAAATATTAGCCTCAATAATTATCGGGCGCCTAACTAAGACTCGTGAACTGCAAACACGAGAAAATCAGGCTGCCTTCAGACCTGGTCGTGGCTGTATCGACCACATATTCACCATTCGTCAAGTTTTAGAGCACAGACATGCTTATCGGCGTCCGACAATGATAGTTTTTCTTGACTTAAAAGTAGCATTTGACTCTGTAGACCGAGAGGATCTGTGGCAGTGTCTGTCATTGAAAGGTGTACCTCAGAAGTACATAAACCTTGTGAAGGCTCTTTATTCGAACACTACCAGTCGAGTCGAAGCTTATGGCGAACTGTCATATGATTTTACAACCTCAAGTGGTGTCCGTCAAGGCTGTCCACTATCCCCATTTTTGTTTAACTTCATAATAGACCTGTTGCTGGAAATAACACTCGTCGACTGAATTTTCAGGAATTGATCTTCTACCAGGGGGACCACTAAGCGACTTAGAATACGCAGATGACATAGTCCTGTTTGGTGAAGACGCTGACAAAATGCAGAGTCTTCTGTTGGAACTGAGTAATAATGCCAGGATGTTTGGGATGCGTTTCTCCCCATCCAAATGTAAATCGTTACTCCAGGACTGGCCTGCGTCAACATCTAAACTAAGGATAGGTAGTGAAGTAGTCGAACGCGTCGACAACTTCACTTATCTTGGAAGTCTGATCAGCCCTAATGGGTTGGTGTCTGACAAAATCTCAGCACGGATTCAAAAAGCTCGTTTGGCTTTTGCCAACTTACGTCACCTATGGCGAAGACGAGACATCCGTCTATCAATTAAGGGACGAGTATACTGCTCATCAGTTCGCCCTATTCTACTTTACGGCTGCGAAACATGGCCATTAAGAGTAGAAGATACTCGTAAGTCACTAGTATTTGACCACAGATACCTTAGAAATATTGCTCGCATCTGTTGGGATAACCGAGTAAGTAATAGTGAGGTTAGACACAAGGTATTAGGGAATGATGGTAAATCAGTTGATGAATCTTCATCGGCTGAGATGGTTTGGCCACGTGTTACGTATGCCTGAACACCGATTACCAAGACGCGCTATGCTGACCAGTGTAGGGGATGATTGGAATAGAGTTAGGGGCAGCCAAACCAAAACGTGGCATCAGAGCTTGAAGTCACTAACTTCTAGCCTGAGCCATGTTTGCAGATGCAGACTACTTGGTTGTGGTCCACGTAACTATCGTAGCCAATAGTTGGAGACTGTGTGGCATGGCTCAGAATCGATCACAATGTCGTAGGTGTATACACTCTTTATCTTCCCTTAAACCATGAGATTGAAATTGCTTCATAACTTTTTTCCTTCCTATACTATATCCTTATATACAACCTTTCTTTATATACTACCACCACTAAATTAATTACTTCTATGAATCCGGTGTTGATCTTGTTGTGCTAACGAGGTATGGCAACTTGAACCGATGCATAAATGTGCCTGGTCCTACTTTGTAGCTGACTGACTGACTGAGTTATCGTCGTCATTGTTATATATATATATATTTTTTCCTTGTATGGATATTTGTTTACTATTCCTAGATGATACCGTCGATATTTGGTTTTACTGAAAAACGTTCTCTTTCAACATCTGGAGATTTATTCATTCGTTGTCTTGTTGGAATGATATCACTCAGTGAATTAAATGAACATATCACTAACAATCAGTCAATACAAGAAAAAGATAATAATCAACACTTTGACAATAAAGAAGATCTAGTCAATCCAGTTACTGTATCAGGATGTCTATTTGTTGAAAGTTTATTTAAATTTATTTATGCTCATCCTATTAAAGTGATTAATAGTCTGTTAAGTCAATCCTCTAAACGTTTAATTGCATGGGCACAACATTATCAATTATCAAGAGTATTAGAAGCTTTCATTTTATCAGAATCTGTAATTAATGAGCTTAAAATTGGATTATTCAAGTCTTTAATGGTTAGTTGACGTTATTTTCATATTAGTTATTTAATTCCTTAGATTATACCTTGTTCTACTCATATAATAGCTGCTATGTTTTAGCTTATGGCTTTCTAATTCAGATCAGTTACAACGTAGAACCGTTGCTGCTACTTCGACATGGTGGTTGAGCTTTCCTATCGTGATGAACTAATCGAGCTATACTAGCTGGAACAATCGTTCCTCAAGGTCCTGCCATGCCAAACAGGTAGGTTGAAGAGCGGTAGGACTAAAAGCAGCAAACCTAAGGTCCGAAGTCGTACTGCTGACTGTACAGAGGTATGATGGCAGTGAGGTGTTTCCTTCAGACAACCAGCATGACAGCGATGCTGCCTTCCTACAACGAGGGGTGGGGTTAGAAAAGGTCCACCCTAAATATACACACCTCGCCTTATCCCACGGATATACATCTCCGACGGTAAGGTCCCAACAAGTACGGAGCTAACACAAAACTTACCCACAAAAAGGTCGTGTGTGACCGACCTCAAGCAGTTGTCCCTTGGACACTGCGGTCACGCTCTCAGGTCATTAAGACCACTTCTAACCCAATTTCTTTTTCAGGTACCTCTAGAAGAACCTTTCCACTGTGTGGGCAACCGGGAAGTGATAACTGCCCTTATACCTCTAACAGTACTCAGTTTTATGAGACAAAACTAATGTTCATATCAGTCAACCAGTTCTCATACTCGATATAGATGGGCCTGTGCGAATATGCATTTGCCCAAGTTCTCATACCAAACTAGCAGAGCAAGACTCGAGATAACTGGAATTCAGTAAGAAAAACTAAACGTTGAGAATATGGTTCTGTGTAAAGGTTATTTGAACACATAGATATTGGTACAAAAAGGCACCAGATATATATGCGTCGCACACATCTCATTTGATTTGTATGAGGGATGTGATACTGCCCGGGTGACAAAACTGAAGCAAGTAGTTTCTTTAGGGGGCCACACTCGTAGCCTTTGACCTAAACGTCTGATCCACAAGGCAGTGGAGCGTTGTAAGGAGATGCAGTCCCATTGTAGCTGGTAAACAACGGTTGGTTCATATGCCATTTGTTCCTTTAGGATACTGGAGCTCATGTGCACCATTGGTTTGGAATCAGGGTTTTCCAACTCCCCTAGGTGGGTTCTCCGTGTCCACCAACCCGGTTAAAGCGTCGGACATTCGCTTTTTGTCCTCTAAATTTCGTAAACAACACCCCCGCCACGAGAAAACAGTGAGTAGGTATTCATGAAGGAATACTGATTGTCAAGATCTACGAGAGGGCATAAAGTGAATGCATTCAAGCCATGTTAATTCAAAGTCTACAACACAATTTATACGTTTATGTATTTAAATAAAGTGGTCAATTTACTATTACGTAACAATTGTGTACCCAAGCATAAAAGTATTAGTCATTAAGTAACCAATAACACTTCATTGCTTCCATTTTATTTTGGACGTATTTATTTTTCTCATCTATTGTGATAATGAAGACTGTTCATTTGAATACACACTTTTCTTTCTTTCACATATAATAGAATGGCTTCTCTATTTTGGCATGCCATTCTTGTGGTAGTCATGTCATTGAAGCATTATGGACAGCTACAAATACCTTACCTCAACCAATAATTTATAAAGAATTAATGGCAGAACAATTAACTAATATTGTTAATCATCTTCATTCACATAGATATGGACATTTTATTTATAAAAAATTATCTTTAGAATTATATCAGAATGATAAAACTCGTTGGTTAACTGTTAATAAATCAACTCATGCAATCAATAATAAACGATATGCCATTGACAATTCACAAAGTAAATTTGTTTTTATTCACTAAAGTGATTGTTTGAAATTTCTTAAAATTTTCATAGTTGAAATCATGGGTCAATTGAAGATAGACCACCATTGAAAACCTGGAAGCACTGGATGGTTCAATGGTCTATCAGTTAAAGGCTCCGACTCGAGACTGGTAGGTCCTGGGTTCGAATCTCGCTCGCGAGTGCGGAATCAGTCTTGAGTGCGGAATTGTAGATGCGCACTGCCACTGAGGAGTCCCATAACAGGATGAGTTGGTCGTCCAGTGCTTCCAGGTTTTCGATGGTGGTCTAGTTTCAATTGACCCATGATTTCAATTATGAAAATACTAAATTCTCCACAAAACCCCCTCTGATTTCTTAAAATCACAAACTATTGTAAAACTTTGAAAAGTCCATTTCATTTGTTGTTTAGAATCTTTGATGAAGTCATCTGATGATGTTATTTTTGTTACAGTCTTCAGTTATAAGGATAGTAGGTTGATGAACCTGTGTTAATCCTGACAGACTGCCTTCCAGTGAAGGTCCAGCTTCTCCTTGAAAATGTTCATTGATGAGGCTGATACCACTTGTTCGGGTAATGCGTTCCAGTCATTGACCACTCGATGAGAAAAAACGGGACCCCAGCTTTAATTTATTAGATCGCGGTTTGTGAACCTTCTTGCTATGACCTCGGAGGGAGCAAACAGATAAGACATATTAACACCCAAATCATAATTAAAGATACGAAATGCCAGTATAAGGTCACTTCGTGTCCTACGATAATATAAGGGGAAAAAGTCTAGACGTTTCAAACGTTCATCGTAAGGGAGTTTAGAAAGACCCTTTATTAATTTTATCCCCACACTCTGCACACGCTCAAGCGATTTAGTATCCTTTATCAGACATGGGCTAACTGTTTGGATACAGTATTCTAAGTGTGGCCTTACATAGGTGGGATATAAAATTCGAAACATCTCCTCGTCAAAACATTTAAATGCTCGGCGTAATGTTAACGAACTGAGTTGAATCCTATTTATGGTAGTAGCTTTACATTGATAAAGACTATATACTAGGACGATATAGTCGTCCAATTATCTATTCATGGTTTTTCAGCTGATATTATTTCTTGATTAAAACTAAATTTGTAGCTATGACCACTGATAGGATCCGGTAACCAAAAAAACTTAGTTCTCTTATGGTAAGCAAAGATGGATAGCGGGTAGTAGTGGAATACAGGACGCGCGTTTCGTCCTATTTGAAGCTCGTCAGCTGGATGTACCTGCATCTCAGCGTTGATGTTCACTCTGGGACTGGAACCCAGTACCTTTCGCTTCAAACGCCATCGTGTTATCCACTCGACCACTGAGTCCTGATGGCCACTTGCTTGTGCAATGGGGTAAAGTTTATATTCACTTAGTATTGTTTGTTTGAATCTTCCCATTGATGTTTTAGGACTGCAACTGGTCAGTCTCTAATTGGCATATGTGCATACTGAGCGTATTGCCTCGATATAACCTAAATTCACAAGCATGGTAAGCAGAGATGGATAGTGGCTAGCAGTAGAATCCAGGACTCAGTGACCGAGTGGATAACGCGATGGCGCTTGGACGGGTAAGTAATAGTGGGATTAGAACCAGGGTATTAGGGAATGATGGTAAATCAGTTGATGAGTCATCAATCTTCATCGACTGAGATGGTTGGGCCACGTGTTACGTATGCCTGAACACCGATTACCAAGACGCGCTATGCTGACCAGTGTAGGGGATGATTGGAATAGAGTTAGGGGCAGCCAAACCAAAACGTGGCATCAGAGCTTGAAGTCACTAACTTCTAGCCTGAGCCATGTTTGCAGATGCAGACTACTTGGTTGTGGTCCACGTAACTATCGTAGCCAATAGTTGGAGACTGTGTGGCATGGCTCAGAATCGATCACAATGTCGTAGGTGTATGCACTCTTTATCTTCCCTTAAACCATGAGATTGAAATTGCTTCATAACTTTTTTCCTTCCTATACTATATCCTTATATACAACCTTTCTTTATATACTACCACCACTAAATTAACTACTTCTATGAATCCGGTGTTCATCTTGTTGTGCTAATAAGGTATGACACCTTGGACCGTTTCATAAATGTGCCTGGTCCCACGTTTTAGCTGACTGACTATCCATTAGATTATCATTATGATTATTACTTAAGAAATATGTTATAAATCACCATGGTAAAAGGTGATATATATGTTTACACGTGTACACAGCTCCAAGAATAAAATCTCTAGAAAAATCGATTTCTTCTCGCCACCCTCCCCCCGTTCTTTTATTTCCTAATGAATTGATTACATTGTAGACTTGTTATATTTCAGTGTAGTAACTATGCAAATTGTGCTTTAATCGTTAATGTTCAGAAAAGATATAACTTGTATTATTTCTAATTCTTTTCTTGTAGATGTTAAACGACCACGAAAATCACTCAAGTAGCTTTTGTACATTAAATGTAATATACAATGATTGTTATCATTATTGTATAAAAACGAAGATGAAAGCTGTATCATATTTTCTAAAATACAAAGAGATGATCATTTCTTCTGATGAATACTGAATTTTGTTTTACGATTTAATGTTTAAGTCAGTGATCTTGAGTGCTGTTTAAGGTATGAGGACAGTTCAGTCAGTCAGTCGCAGCGTAGAACTTCGTACGTACGTACATCAGTTCAAACTTTCATACCACATTAGCACAGAGATGAAGTTGTCGATTCAAATCCCATATTGGTAGAAGTAGTAAGAGTATAAGTATTATGTGAAAGATAAGGGTTTGAAGATGTTGTTCAAGGAGTATAATCTAGTGAAATAAATTTGAAAAGATAAAAAGTATAGGGACATGAAGAATGCAGTAGATTAGAATTTGGCGGAACACAAACAGTGGATGTACCTACGCCATTGTAAACGATTTTGAGACATGTCATTCAAGGTCTCTAACCATCGATTGCTATCATCTCGCGGATCCCAACCAGGTAGTCTACACCTACCAACAAGGCTCAGTCCACTTGTCAGTGACTTCATGGATTTGTGCCATGTTTTGATTTGGCCGCCCCTACCTTTCTTCCAATCTACTCCTACACCATAAAACATTGCACGTCGGGGCAATCGGTGGTTGGGCATACGTAACACGTATCCCAGTCATCTCAACGGATGAAGTTTCTCTACTTCATCCATTGATTTGCCATCTTTACCTGGTACCCGTTTCCTAACATCTGCATTACTTACCCGGTGGTCCCAGGATATACGAGCAATGCTTCGAAGACACCTATGATCGAACACTAGTAGCCTACGAATATCCTCTACTCTTATCGGCCATGTTTCACTGCCATAAAGTAGGAAAGAACGGACTGCTGCACAGTAAACACGTCCTTTTGTTGCTAGACGGATATCTCGCCTACGCCATAAATGACGCAAGTTGGTGAAAGCTAGACGAGCCTTCTGTATCCATGCTGAGATGTCGTCAAACACCAGACCACAAGGGCTGATGCGACTCTCAAGATAAGTGAAGTGGTCAACACGCTCAACCACTTCACTCCTTGTTATTAGTTCAGGTACCGATGCAACCCAGTCCTGAAGTAGCATTTTGCACTTCGAAGAAGAGAATCGCATCCCGAACATGCCTGCATTGTTGCTTATAGTGGTCAGAAGACTCTGCATTTTGTCAGCGTCTTCACCAAATAAAGCTATGTCGTCGGCGTATTCTAAGTCAACAAGTGAGCCTCCTGGTAAAAGATCAACTCCTGGAGGTTTAGCTGATGAAAGTGTTATCTCTAAAAGTATGTCAACGACAATTTATTTATTTAGACACATGCATATTGGTACAAAAAGGCACCAGATACATATGCGCCACACAAAATAATGAAAGTAGGAAGAAAAAGGATGAAAAGATAAGGCGGATTGAAATGTACAGCCAGAAGACTTTCAGTTAAGAAAGTTAGAACCACTCTTTATGTAGAAAGTAAAAGAAGGTTGCAGCAGTATCACAACTCCGCCTGTAGCTCCTCTGGGGGTTACTGCCGGTCCCAAGCCCGGGTAAAGGAGGAGGGTTGGGCATGGGGTTAGCGACCCCATCCCGTAGAAAATCAACTCGCTAAAAAAACGCTAACCAGAAAAAATCATTCAAACTCTGCCCTGGGAGTAGAAGGAATAATTATGACGTCTCATGATGAAAGCCGAGCTCCTTCGGAAGTCATGAGGCCGATGCACCTTCTTACAACCAGAGCGAAAATTTCTATAGGTACATGGAATGTCCGAACAATGTGGGAGACCGGAAGAGTTTTCCAAATTGCTGCAGAAATGAGAAAATACAACCTGGAAGTGCTTGGAATCAGCGAAACACATTGGACGCAGTTTGGACAACAACGACTGTCTTCAGGAGAACTTCTGTTATACTCCGGTCATGAAGAAGAAAATGCCCCACATACACAAGGAGTTGCATTAATGCTGTCCAGAAAAGCACAAAATGCACTTATAGGATGGGAATCTCATGGACCAAGGATCATCAAAGCCTCCTTCAGAACAAAGAGAGAGGGCATTACAATGAACGTCATCCAATGCTATGCGCCTACCAATGACTACGATGAAGACGCTAAAGACCAATTCTACGACAGATTGCAGTCGAGAAGTGCCCAACCAAGGACCTGACAATTCTGATGGGAGATCTCAATGCTAAGGTTGGAATGGACAACACTGGATATGAAGACGTAATGGGACAACATGGACTGGGAGGAAGGAACGAAAATGGTGAGAGATTTTCAAACCTATGTGCCTTCAATAAACTGGTCATAGGTGGCACCATATTCCCACACAAAAACATACACAAAGCCACTTGGATTTCACCGGATCACATTACACAGAATCAAATCGACCATATCTGCATCAACAAAAAGTTCAGGAGGACGATGGAGGATGTGAGAACCAGAAGAGGAGCTGATATAGCATCTGATCATCATTTGCTGGTCGCCAAGATGAAACTAAAACTCAAGAAGCAGTGGACAACTGCGCGGACAACATCACAAAAGTTTAATACGGCCTTTCTTCGAGATGCTGACAAACTCAACAAATTCAACATAACCCTCAGCAACAGGTTCCAGACCTTTTATGATCTACTCAATGGAGAGGGAACTACCATGGAGAGCAACTGGAAAGGTATCAAGGAGGCAATCTTTTCAACATGTCAGGAGGTTCTGGGCAAAAAGAAGCACCATCACAAGGAATGGATCACTGTTGGTACACTGGATAAAATTGAAGAAAGGAGGAACAAGAAGGCAGCAATCAACACCAGCCGAACCAGAGCGGAAAAAGCCAAGGCACAAGCCGAATACACAGAGGCAAACAAGCAAGTGAAGAGGAGCATCAGGACTGACCGACGTAAATATGTGGAAGATTTAGCGATGACAGCGGAAAAGGCTGCAAGAGAAGGAAACATGAGACAATTGTATGATACAACAAAGAAACTTGCTGGAAATTACCGTAAGCCAGAAAGACCAGTGAAAAGCAAGGAAGGCAAAGTAATCAACGATATTGAAGAACAACGAAACAGGTGGGTAGAACACTTCAAAGAACTCTTGAATCGACCAGCTCCACTGAACCCACCCAACATTGAAACAGCACCCACGGACCTCCCAATCGATATTGGCCCACCAACAATTGAAGAGATCAGCATGGCCATTAGACAAATCAAGTGTGGCAAAGCAGCGGGACCAGACAACATCCCGGCAGAGGCACTGAAAGCAAATGTAACAGCAACTGCCAAGATACTCCACATCCTCTTCAGTAAGATTTGGGACGAAGAACAAATACCAACAGACTGGAATAAAGGACTTCTGACCAAGATACCAAAGAAAGGCGATCTCAGCAAGTGCGATAACTACAGGGGCATCACTCTTCTCTCAATACCAGGAAAAGTCTTCAACCGAGTATTGTTAAACAGGATGAAGGATTCCGTGGACGCTCAACTTCGAGATCAACAAGCTGGGTTTCGTAAGGATAGATCGTGCACAGATCAAATCGCAACTCTGCGGATCATTGTGGAACAATCAATCGAATGGAACTCATCACTCTACATCAACTTCATCGACTACGAGAAGGCATTTGATAGCGTGGACAGGACGACACTATGGAGGCTTCTTCGACACTACGGCGTGCCTGAGAAGATAGTAAATATCATACGGAACTCCTATGATGGACTAAACTGCCAAATCGTCCACGGAGGACAACTCACCGACTCGTTTCAAGTAAAGACCGGTGTTAGGCAAGGTTGCTTACTCTCACCCTTTCTCTTTCTCCTGGTCATCGACTGGATTATGAAGACGTCAACATCTGGAGGAAATCACGGGATACAGTGGACAGGCAGGATGCAGCTTGACGATTTAGACTTCGCGGATGATCTGGCTCTTCTATCACAAACGCAACAACAAATGCAGGAGAAAACGACCAGTGTAGCAACAGCCTCAGCAGCAGTAGGTCTCAATATAAACAAAGGGAAAAGCAAGACTCTCCGATACAATACAATATGCACCAATCAAATTACACTTGACGGAGAAGCTTTGGAGGATGTGGAAACCTTTACATATCTGGGCAGCATCATTGATGAACATGGTGGATCTGATGCAGATGTGAGGGCGCGGATTGGCAAAGCAAGAGCAGCATACTTACAACTGAAAAACATCTGGAGCTCAAAACAATTGTCAACCAACACCAAGGTTAGAATTTTCAATACAAATGTCAAGACAATTCTACTGTATGTGGCGGAGACGTGGAGAAATACGAAAGCCATTATCCAGAAGATACAAGTGTTCATCAACAGCTGTCTACGCAAAATACTTCGGATCCGATGGCCAGACACTATCAGCAATAAGTTACTGTGGGAGACAACAAACCAGATTCCAGCAGAGGAAGAAATCAGGAGAAAGCGCTGGAAGTGGATTGGGCACACCTTGAGGAAACCAGCTAATTGCGTCCCAAGACAAGCCCTCACATGGAATCCTGAAGGTCAACGGAAAAGAGGAAGACCAAAGAACACATTACGCCGAGAAATAGAGACAGACATGAGAAGAATGAACAAGAACTGGATAGAACTAGAAAAGAAGGCCCAGGACAGAGTGGGTTGGAGAAAGCTGGTCGGCGGCCTATGCTCCATTGGGAGTATCAGGCGTAAGTAAGTAAGTAAGTAAGCAGGATCGCCACTGGCTTATATTCTGAGCCATATCTGACAACGTCTCTAGCCACTGTGTTGCACTATCTCTGGGACCCCAGCCAGGGAGTCGTGAAGGACCAACAGAAGCTAGCCCTTCTCAGCTTTCATGCCACGACACCATCTCATACACTGACCTCCTCTCCGCTTTTTACAACCAGTCCCAGAGTCGGCAAATAATGCACGACGTGGAAGTCTCTGGGACGACATTCGTAAAACATGTCCAAGCCACCGAAGTCGGTGTTTCAAGATGATGACACCAATTGGATTATCGTCTCTGCGCCCGAACACACGATGTCGAACCTCTGCATTACTAACATGTTGTTGCCACTGAATGTCAGCAATCCTCCGGAGACA